TTGATTAAAACAATAATCGGTAGGTGAAGCCCTCAATAGGATCAAGACAGGGATTATACAAAGGGCTGGTTTGTTATAAATGTCTACAGGCTCCGTTTCTACTCCACTGCAGCTCTTTCAAGCAGTTACTGAAACTTTGTGTCTGTTCATGTCTCTAGTTCAGCAGCTCCCCAGTTGAGAATCTCTCTCAGGGCCTGGGGAGCAACCTGGCTCCTGTTGGATTCTTGTAAGTTACACAGAAATGCAAACAAACACACAACTATGAGCCTCTGTTTGTATCTTCAGACCCACACTCATGTTCACTCATCTGATGTGTCTCCCTGATTGTGTCCATGTAGGAATGGAGAGGTGGTTTACCAGCTTCTGCCCTATACAGCTCCTGTGTTGGCCTCTAATTATCCTCCAGTGAACTGCCTCCGTCCAAAGTAAGCCCACGTGACTGGTTCATCATCTGTGTCCGAGCACAACAGAGCCAGACTCAAAATGAATATATTTATTTCTTATTTATGCTCCAAGATCCTAGTCCTATCATATCATTTTTCTGTTTTCCCATAGAAAGACAAAGTTTCACAGACAGTCCAACAACGAAAACCAGCCATATGTTAAGAAGCCACAAAACGCCTTTATGATTTACCTCAAGGAACAGAGGCCAAAAGTTGTGGCCGAGCTTGGAAACTCCGACTGTGCCACAGTCAACAAAGTCATTGGACAAAAAGTAGTTRTCTTTGTCAAATACACTGTGGGAGGTTTCAGTGCAGGACCTGCACCTGTTAAAGTGGACCTCTGTGTATTGATGCTTGTGTTTGTGTTGTCCTGTGTCCACAGTGGAAGTCGCTGTCCAGCATGGAGCAGGCGATTTATTACGAACAAGCTGAGAGGGAGAGGCAGCTCCACCTTCAGCTCTTCCCTGAGTGGTCAGCCAGTGATAATTATGTATGTACTGTACACTATGCTYACATACAACTCATACATGTTCACATCATTTTACACCCACATTATGCRACAAGGTCACTTCAGCAGCTATCAGATGGACAGTCTGACATGTTTGTGTTTGTTTCCAGGGCAAAAAGAGGAAGAGGATAAGGAGGAAGGGTCCAGCTATGACTTTGCAAACTGTCATTTGAACTCTCCAGAATTATCTGAAGATCTTCAGCTGAGATTTTGAAAGAGGGATGATGCACAACATCTACATTGTATATATACATTACTGATTATGACAGAGGTTGGATTCTTTCTAAAGGAACAATTTCTTTCAACAGTTGCTCATAAATCCACCCGCCTGTTAATTAATGAGAATTTAAAGGAGAAGTTCATTTTTTTTCAACCTGGACCTTATTTCCAGCATATGGTTTGTAGATCTACTCACCCATAAAGGTTTGGAGTAACTTGGAGTCCTTCGGACGCTTTTAGATCCACAAGCGATCGGCGTATATCCATACAACGCAAGTGACTGGGGCATCCACAATACAGCCTCTAAATAACACATTATCTGCGGCGAAAACTCTTTATTTACTATGAATCTCCAGCACTAGTCCCCTGTGAGTCCAAGTTGCTTGGTTTACRTCCCGGGCTTTCACTGGGGTGACGTCACCGAGGCACGCAGCCGCAGCTCAGCTGACGATCAGTTGTGTTTGTTTACACGGAGTTTGCTGCTGCTGACAACACTGTCCACAAGAACACCACCAGTTGCCATCTATCTGCGGACGTGTAGCAGTTTGTTGATCTCTGGCCAGCTGTTCCTCTCTCTGCYGCCGCATCCTCCTTTCAAGGAGCTCCTCATCTGTGTACCGACTACCGGACAACCTTGACACAGATGAGGAGCTCCTTGAAAGGAGGATGCGGCGGCAGAGAGAGGAACAGCTGGCCAGAGATCAACAAACTGCTGCACGTCCGCGGAATAGATGGCAACTGGTGGTGTTCTTGTGGACAGTGTTGTCAGCAGCAGCAAACTCCGTGTAAACAAACACAACTGATAGTCATCTGAGCTGCGGCTGCGTGCCTCGGTGACGTCACCCCAGTGAAAGCCCGGGATGTAAACVAAGCAACTTGGACTCACAGGGGACTAGTGCTGGAGATTCATAGTAAATAAAGAGTTTCGTGGCAGATAATGCGTTGTTTAGAGGCTGTATTGTGGATGCTCCAGTCACTTGCGTTGTATGGATATACGCCGATCGCGTGTGGATCTAAAAGCGTTCGAAGGACTCCAAGTTACTCCAAACCTTTATGGGTGAGTAGATCTACAAACCATATGCTGGAAATAAGGTCCAGGTTAAAAAAAAAAAACGAACTTAACAGACACTAATGTCTGTGTGTTTTATTTGATGTGTATCTGCTTCAGAGGGTGTGAAATAAAAGTTATTGAACCCTAACCTAGAAGTAATTCTTTCTTTCACATACATTTGTAAGACCTAAAAGCCACACACTAGGGCTGCATGATATTAGGAAATCATGCGATAACCTAGTTGAATATCACAATGACGATATTACTTGCAATAAATAAACAAATGCAAGTATAYRGTGTTAAAGTTCTAGTGGTCTATGCAGACATTGAAAGAAAATGAAAAGCATTTSCATTCCWACAACATGGTTTTATTGAAAAAGTTCTGCCTGGCTTTAGACATAGGGACCACGGACAGTTCCACAGCGCCACCTAGTCTGTGGCAGACACCTGGGAGCCATGCACAGCTCTACTAAGTTCATTTACAGTCTTCATTTTGGGTCTTTTCATACATGTTTGGACCAGGAACGCTCTGTCAGTAATTTACTGCTCCGGAGAGAGGTGTGTGTGTGTGTGTGTGTGTGTGTGTGTGTGTGTGTGTGTGTGTGTGTGTGTGTGTGCGCTTTCCCCTCAGGTTGTGGGATCATAAATAAGCTAAGCAAATCTTTTATATAATCAACCATTCATGGTGATGAATGTGACAAACGTGATCACTAGAAGTTTCCACTGTAAAATTTAATCAGGAGGAGGCAGAGCGAGATTTGATGGAGTCACCTCGCAATTCTCTGTTCTCTCTCTATTCCTTTCTTCCCACAATGATTTATTGACAGAGAAAACCATCAGTGATCTGAATATCTTTAATTTATTATCTAGGGCAGCAGGGATCCATCTGATTGGTCAGATATATTGACATGCAGAGCGTGAATACATGGCACATGGAACACCATTTATCGAAGTTGAAGATGACCTTTGCTATGTGAATATTACACGTTTATATCGTGATGACGATACAATTTCAATATATCATGCAGCCCTACCACACACACAGAGATACATTGCTCCACAGCATGCATCGAGAACTGACAGCATCTGTCACATGCACACACATCGAGCGGTTTTTGTCAGCCCAGTGTCATCCAGGATACTGACCTCCAGTTGCCACCGCTGGAAGTCAATATCACTGTCAACTCAGAAACAGCATCCACTGCCATGGCAACAGCGGTTCAGACACACACGCACACGCTCTCAAACACACAAAAACAAATGCTCCTAAACAAATTATGAGTTAGATGTAATGAATAAAAGAGCATTTTAAAGGAAAACTGCAGGTTTTGTTCATCTTCGACTTTTCTTTGCTCTGATGACCGTAATGTATGCTTAGTTATAACCTTTTCAGTTGACCTTTTGGAGAGAGACATCACTTGACAGCAAACACTTCACTGGAGGAAGTCTCAGCCTGTGCCTTATTGTATCCAGAGTACTGTTTCATGGTCTATTCTTGTGTTGCCTTTTCTGTTTTTTGCTCTGTAAAGAGTGGGTTCTGTAGAGAAGATAATCAGGTCGGTCGATTGCCAATATATCTGTTGTTCATTGTGTCCAGAAGAGCAACCTTTACATAATATTGGTAATAATAGTGGCACAGCTGAGAATGGTAAGTGCCGCTCTCTTTAAGAGTTGGACTTTTTACACTTTGAGGACAGCTTTTACATCTCCAAGATATTTTTCTTTGTCACACTCAAATGTTAGAAAGACCTGGTTTAATGTGCATGTTAAAGAGAGGAATGTTTGACACAGAACAACCAGTGTAACTGTAAAACCAATAGGACGAAGCAGTGATGTGCATCTTTTTCCAAAGCTCTCTGTGCCCTTTAAGATATTTTGTGTGATGGACAGAGCTGCTTTGCGTGAGCTGATGGTGGTTGACCTAAATGAAAGTCCAAGTTGGGTTGTTGACGTAGCTCCACTCTCAGTATGAATGCACAGTCAGAGAGAGGAAAGAGACAGCCGACACGTAATCCATAATCCATAGCTGCCAGCGTGCAGTGAAAACAGAATCAGCTTTACGCAGTAACAGGATCTACAGAAAAGAAAAAGCTCATATTTGGCAGGAGGCTGTTGCTGTGACAGGTCACCGCGCAGCTCGTGTCTTTCCACCTGTCGCAGAAGACAGTCACTCTCTGTGTGTGAACATGTGTTCCGTTGAGGTGGTGTCGCTTTAGTCTCTCCAATTTTGTGTTCTGTGCTCGTTTCTCACTATTTAAATCATGCAGTAGAAATTTTCTCCTTTTTTTGCCTATAACAGGTATAACACGTGTGTACACATGTGCAGGAACCATCGGCCGTGGGATTCTAGCATGTTGTAAAATGTTTGTTTTTGCCATTTCAATTTGAAACAACTTGAGAAACTTTAGTACAGCCAAGATCTAAGTCAATATACTTGAGACTCATTGGTTTATTTACTCTTAAAGTTTCTGAGATTGATTTTTTTAAGATTTACTTTTACAATGATTTTTTTATTGCATTAAACTAAATCAGCATTTTTCCCCAGTTTCTTCCTGTTTCTATTATTATTATTTTTATACATTATGAATTCTATTTTGGTTTGTAATTACACTAGAGATAAAATCAACATGTTGCTATTCCAAAAGCCCCACTCCACTCTCCCACACACACGTGCACACAAACAAATAACACAGGCTTATATCCTGGTAGCGCAGGGGCCAGGGAGGATATTGTAACAAGCATCCGAAAAAATGTTGGTGCAACAATTGAGACAAGGCTCCCGTCTGAATTAAAGAGGATTATCTCCTTTTAATTTATGCTAATGAATGCACACACACTAACTAGAGCAGCATGTTGTTGTGGAGCCAAAGCCTGTGGCACCCACACTCTCACAGACATTTAGAAGCTTCCACAACTGTGTGTTATTGCACCATTGAAGCCTGTTGCTTGTGGAGCCGCACTCACAAGACACATGCGCACACACTCAGTATTATCCCATTGTGTACCTCATGGGAATCTTGAAGTCCAACTGCTGCCAAATCTCACCACCATCACACACACACACACACACACACACACACACACACACACACACACACATGCTCTCACACTGATTCCACCGTGGGACAGTCCTGGCTTGCTTGAATCTACATTCTTGTTCTGTTGTGTGACGCTTCTTCAGTTCAGTGGACCAAAGCTCTTTCACTGCCTCGCATGAAATCCAGAAACACACACTGTGTGCTCTCTTCATGATTCTCCTTCAAGCTCTCCAAGTCACTCAAGGGAATTTTCCTGTTTAAGTCATCAATATTTTATAAGATATAGATGTTAAGGGCAGAGGATGTCGCACCTTGTGAATATGGACTATTCAAATACAATTTGATTGATTGATTGATTGATTGATTGATTGGTTGGTAAGGCACTGCATGCATGTGTTTTTCCCCCTATCTTTATTAAAGGCTGATCTTTAGTAGCAAATATAACCCAAATACCCCAAAAGAAATGTGGGCCACTATGCTGTGGTCTTAGCAACGTAGTTTTAAATGTGCACCTTACTTACCCATTAATTGTGCATGAATTACTGAAGTATAATTGGCCCCTCTGTGTAAGTTGTGGCCCCTTTATGGCCCTTGGTTTCGAAAAATCATAGATGCACCTCTTCTATAAAGCTCTACAATAGGATATGAATCACACTGGTGCTGTGGCACAGATAAGAGCCACTCATCCACAGCTGCAGACGCACACTGTGTCCCTGTAACATCATGAGAACATTACAGGAGCTATAATCATTTCCACTGAGGGCAGTGGGCGGCGCGCACACAACGCGCCCCTTAATGCGATATATATACATGTGAGGGTGCGCGTCCCCCCAATCATCCCAGCCAGCCCGAGAGAACGCACCCTTTAAAACCAGACCGAGCCAAGCTGGGCCGAATCGAGCCCAACCAATCCGAGCGTACAGAGGCAGCAGAGGAGCCACGATGAGCTGGTAGCGCATCTTTTACGCACACCGCCGACCGCTCCGCCGCCCGCCCGCACGTCCGTCCCTTATAAACGCACCGTCTGCCGCTTCACGTTCAGTTCTCACGCCGACACCATGGAGACGACACTGGCCAGGAGCGAGGCGATCGTTTCCCAGCTGCTGCTTTTCAGCCACATCGGTAAGAAAGTGAGGAGGAGGAGGAGGAGAAGAAGGAGAGAAAAGGCGTTAAATGTGAATGTGGTGGTGGCTGACATGTGATGCTGTGCACGCTGCATTGAGCCTGTGCGTCCGTTTGATTCCCCCCGATTTTCTGCACACTTCACTCCGTCTTCCACTATCTGCAGAAATATGCATTTGACACGTCGGTGTAGGTTTCTTAAATGCATGCCCTTTTCCTCCGTGGGGTTCTCTACCGCTAAATATTGCCTTTGCGCTCAGATTTTGTTTTTGCGAATCCTCTGCAGTACGTGCACGGATTTCAATTCCCGTGATTCAAACATGTTGAGCCATTTTTGCCCAAACACAAGTTGAAGTCTGAATGAAATGTAACGTTGTGCAGTGTGATGTGATGCTCTGGTCTTTTAGTGGACCTGAGGAAATGTGCTCCAACTTTGAGTTCCTGTAACCAAATCTAATATGTGGATATAATATATATCACACATCTGTTTGTGTCACGCTGTCCTGTATTTTAAGACCTTTATCATGAAGAAGTCATTGCTCTTTTATTCTTGCACTACGCATCAGTGGTGGATCTAAGTTTTTCTGAGTCAGGGGCTATAAAGCAACCACAATTTACAAAGAGGTGCCATTTACATGCATGTGCAACATCCATGAGCCATCCCTGATTTTAGGTGCACATTTAAGCCATTCATTGTTAACTGAGAGCAAACACTTCATTGTATATATTTTGAATATAGCTTGAAAAAAAACAACTTTTTGTCGATTATTGTCGTATTGTTATTATAATAATATATTTTTTTTTATTACTGACAGTACAGGGACACTTGTGGGGCCAAACTGATTTCAGCCCACCTGGTATACATCTGCTGTAACCTGATTTACAAATACATTCAGAGGGCAGGTTTGTGAATGTAAGTCCAGAAAGTTTTAGACATATTTTTATACAGTAGCCTACTTCGGCTGCTTTCACTGAAAAAAAGATTTATTAGTCCAAGAGTAAGCAGAGCAGATGTCAAATTTTGGATTCTCCTGAAGATATTCAAGAGGGATCTTGGTTCTAATTTGAGCAACTGGATCACAGATGGGGAAAAAATTGCATAAACAGTTTGTTTACTAATTAAAAAAAGGAAAATAAATAAGACATGCATTGCCCTTCAGTCAGTAGCTTAACAAGATGAATCATCACTCAAAACGAGAACAGTGAAGCAGTTGCACTCTCTCAGCATCATGTCCTTGTCTGCACACTGCCAGCATTTGACCAGTGGCATCTGCAAATTCACATTTGAAGAAAAAGTTCCTTCCTGCAGGAAAATTAATTTGAGGTTATGTTAGTGGAATATATTTGGAGCTCACTTAAGCTCTTTAGGGGAACAACATATAAATGTCTGCCAAATCAAATAGAGGCACATTGAGTCTGGCTGTTATATCATCAGGGACAATATATTGGACAATTTAAGCAGCTTTTCTGGTCTAGTCTTGATATTAGTTGATATATACAAAGAAATTCCTGGCAGAAAAACCAAGGATATATGCGAGGTTTGAAATAGTCCTGCTATTAAATGGTTTGCCCTCCAGAGGGTGCTGAAAAATACACTTTTCCATGTGTAAAATACCACACTCATTTACCTGTAAATCATTCATAACGCTTTAAACTATAAGCTATCTCATTGTGTTTATGTTGAGAGCATTGGCTGACATATTGTTATGGACCTCCTGGATGAACCCCCCCTGAACCCTCTGACAGACCCCTGTTAGTCTTCATCCCCTCGTCCTTAATACAGCTGTGGCTGACATTTCAATTTGACCTTTAAGAAATAGCTTAAATGTTCGACATCGATTCTTAACAAGGTTATCATACCTTTCAAATGAGGCACAGGAGATGAATCTCATGACATTCATTTGAGGAGGAAGAGATCAGAGGTCCTGAGCACAAACCTGCATGTTCCCATGTGATGAGATTTAGTGTGATCGGATTGAACCAGAAGATCCCAAAAACAACAAATGGTAACATGGAGGAGAGAATGATGATGTTCCACTTAAGAAAGCGGCAAATGTGGCCACATTGTAAGCATGTGAAATTAGACTTTCTTACCAACTCTTTAAGTTTCACCTCAAAAAGTTAGGCTATTGTTAAAACTATACTTGGTTGTGTTGCTTGAACTATTAGCTACACTGTCCCCCATGATTTACCGTGCTAATGCTTTGTTTTGCCTGTTTCATCTGTATCTGCAAGTTTTCAAAACATGTGCACACAAACAGATGAAATGAGCACAAAGTTGGGACAGAAGGCTCTGTGAAAAACATCAGATAACAAAGATTTTAAGCTACCAAGGGAACCTCAAACTCCAGCAGGAGGACAGATTGCTGTGTATTCCATTTAAATGGTGCATAATACCTGATTATACCAGTTCTGCCAACATTTGTGACTGTGAAGATGTCTAGTGATACAGAGAACAGAGATGAGTCCAAAATCTGCCCTCTGATACACAAGGTTTAACTGCTGAAGTGCTGATGACGGTACAGAATGTCTCTGTAGTCATGAATCCGGTTCATTTCCCTTCAAATGTTTATGTCAGAGATGCTGTTACTAGGAAAAGGAAATGGAGCATCCTCCAGCCATCTGTCCCACAATACGCCTGGTCACCTCTCAGAATCACACACTCACGCATTTTCTTTGCTTCCTTTTAGTCACACTCATCCGTGCAAAAACACACACACACACACAAATCTTCAATGTGAGTGCTCTTGTTGTGGCTTTTGCAACTCAATGAACTCAAGTGTTCTAGCTGAAGTCCTTCATTGTGCCATATGCTTTGTAACAGCATGCTTCTCTCTCATGATATACACCATGCCTGTGACTCCACAGTGGTTTCACACCTGCTCCCTGTCATTCCATACACACTGTTGTGCAGGAACAGGGGGGATGTGGGCATGTGTTCTTGTATCTTGATATTTGATATATTGTGATTCTGCAGGTTAGACATTTCAGAGTAATCACTGTCAGCTCAGCGTGGTGGTTGTATCTGGGACCTTATTCTCTTGACACCACACAGACCTCAGATTTCACTTTCCTCCACTCAGTGTTCCAAACAGGACATATTGAATCTGAAGCCTCCTGCCATGATTGCCTGCATTTGTCGGTTGTTTCCAGTCGTTAGCATTCGCACTCCCTAGCAGACCGCATTAGATGACTCACTGTTATATTTGCAGGGGTTGCTCTCAAGACATGGGCCTCAGCGCCTTAAATGGCTAACACATTGTCCATTGTCTTGTGACAGTCATATATTTGAATATATATTTAGTGGGCTGTTGAGCCGCAGTGATTCAATTGGAAGTGGTTGCCAATGCACTGTGGAATTAATAGATTGGTGGTGCATGGTGATTGGTTAGCTGGAGGGACACAGCCTACATGCCAACAGGATCCATACTGAGTGCACTGCCACCATTCATTCAGTGTTTGTGTGTGTGTCTATGAGAGAGGAATACTTGTGTGAGTGTGTTTACTAAGGTGGCCGAGATGACTCACAGGAGCTCATTAATGGAAAAACATGAATGCCTAATCACAGCAGCAAATAAGGCACACAACGAAAACACAATAACAACGATATAACAAGTTTCAAGTGTTTCTTACTGTGGGCAAGTGACCTGTTGTTCGTGGCTTATGTAGTTGTGCTGTGGATTTAATGTGCTTGTGTTGGATGTCTCAGCCACTGTAGTTTAATAGTTTTTGAACATTTCCACCTTAATCAAAATGAGACTAATGTAGAAAACCAACAGGAAATCTTGAAACCACAAAGAATCTAGCCAACGTGCCACCATACACAGTGTTACAGCTCCTGTGTAATGTTTAATGTGAGTTCAGTGATCATATGTTCTCCCTGTGAGAGACCATCTGGCCAACCAGTGCACTCACAGCGTGTGAACCATAGGGGTTGCATCCGGTGGCATAATGGCATGCCTGATGGTGTCATGCTAATTGCCTACAAAACATTGGCAAACACATTCTGGTGCTCTTGGCATCCTGAATGTGTAAATCCATGAATTATATGAACAGTGACGAGATACACTCAGATACCTTGTGAATTACAATAGGGATGAAAGTCATATTGACCAGATTTGTAAGAAGATGAAAAGCTGCTGATAATATATTGTGTATTAATTAGCATACAGAGTGGTGGAATACATAGATTTCAACAGTAAATGTAAAAATCTCCTACCGTCAAGTTTACGTTTATATGTAGAAAAAATCTCACACATTTACCAAACCAAAACTACGAAAGGCAATTTTTTTTCGCTCCCGCAAAATGACTCCAGTCAATAAACTGTACTACATTCATAATACTAAGCTTACTACAATCTCTGTCCCCATGATAAGAAACGTCTCGAGTACACTGGGCATGCACGTACCTATGTAAACAGGAAGACAACAGTGTCAGCAGCGCTTGTAATTCATTGTCCATGTTGCTTGTTGTTATTACGCTGCCCCTACAGACTAAAATGAGCCCTGGATGTTTCAAACTTCTCTCCTGTAGCCGCTCTGAAACTCCAGAGTAGAGTGGATCCCGGGCGTATACTTAGTAGAGTAGATGTATTACAAGTGAAATTGTTTGACCAATACACCACCTGTTTAATAAGCTCAACATGGTGTCATACATGATTCCTCCCTCGCTTAAACATTCATGTTATAATATATGAGATACACATTAATAAGGATGCTGCTGTTTGTCACTTTAAAGCGGCATTGTTGTAATTTAATTTTCAAAATTGGCAAATTTCTAAGAGTTAATCATCTTGAAATCCTCTGATTTGACACAGTGAGAGACTTGTCTGTTAACTTAGGGAACACTGGCACTAATGTCACACTGTCCATGCCAGAGTGTTGACTCATTTAGTCAAGCACTTCAGTTTATTTTGATTCTTTCTATTCTCATTTCCTCTTCTATGTGACTGTTTATAGAACAGTGTACAGTTTAGTATAGGGCAGTGAGATATAATTGC